GAGAGAGAGAGAGAGAGAGAGAGAGAGAGAGAGCACTAACCGGAGAAGTTTACATACGCAGGGTTGCGCGCGCGGCGGATACCTTAAAGTCCACTAGTCCCCGTCAACCACCGCGGTATTCAACAGGGCACTTTTCCCATCGGACGCTATCTTCTCCACTTGTCAAATCACACGCCGAGCTGTCATCTTTCGCTCTTGCGCCACTTCTCCCCTTCGCGTTTTTCGCTTCTCCTCTTCACATCGACCCGGCTGCCGCGAACCGCGCGCGCACACGTATATACGTATAACGTAATACGTGCGACTCCCGACTTCGAGAATTCGCGCGACGAGGAAAGCACCGAGCGTAACGCGACCGCTCTCCCGGATACTCCGCACGGCTTTGATCGCCGCCGCTGTCATCGATGGCGACGCCGCGCGATCGTCACGGCACCTGCTGGTAATGCAGCGCAACACTCCTTTAGTTTTACTTTTTTTTTTTCTTCAAAACACCGGAAACCGGAAGCTCTCATTAATTTAACGATATAGAGAGAGAGAGAGAGAGAGAGAGAGAGCGCGAGATGAGAACATTGTATATTTCATTAATCTCTATAAAATAAAAAAGATTTAGCCATTTTTCGTTTTGAGAATATTTATAACTCAATCTCACGTTAATTTTAAAATAAAAAATTTAATTTCCAGAAATATAACGTTAGGTATATAAAAGAGAGAGGGACATACATTTGTTGTAACAATTTTGCAATAAACTAAACAATAATTTTTTTTAATATTTCGATAAGATGACAAAATTATTTCTAACTTTGAGATAAAAATAAAAGTACGAAATTGTTTATTAAATTCAAATTTCCACAACTTGTATTCTATTTAGAAATATAAATGCAATATATACAAATTTGCAAACAAATTTTATTATCGCTGACAATTGCAGATCGTAACACAATTTTCCAAATAATACTTATGCTATTGTATAACGTACGTAAAAATATCACTAATGTAAAGTTGACGTCAGCTAATTAATAAAATATATGACTATACCTTATATTACACAATATACTATTTCAATAAGTATGATTTAATAAACGTTATAAAATTATAACATCTATATCACGAACGACGCAATGTACAGTTCAATTACAGAACATATTGTGGTATTTTACGTACATAAAGATTGTATTCCTTTGGCTTAATAGATCTTTTTAATTCATTTTAAAAAATGGTGTGTTATAGATATGGTGTTTTCAAAACATTTCTCTGCGAGAAATAATGACATTAAACATATATCGATAAATTTTCTATTATTTCTAATTTAATAATATAAATGTTTCATATGTCACAAGTGTTACAAATATTATTTACTATCGTTGTAACCTTTTAATAATACATCATTTACAGAAGTGGTCTCGCAGAGATCCTGTATTAAGAGTTTGGTGAAAGCGGCTCAACTTTTAGGCTCCGTTCCGTTATTCATTGCGAGTAATGAAAATCTATAGTATGTTCAACGTGAACTTACAAATTTTCAATCCTCGCAGTGAAAATGCAGCCTCCTGATTTGTCCTCCGTTATAGTTATGATCCATTCGATATACGTCGCACAGCTTCATAAATTGTCAGAAAACGAGAATGAAGAAAGAGAGATAGCTATAAACAGACGAGTTTAATTTTCATCTTATAAATAAGATCTTACTTCACCTAAGATTAATACAAAATGCCGAGACTGATGATAGTATGAGAAGAATGTAAAAATTATAATAATAGGGCTATACTGAAAAAAAATTTACTAAATTTTAGTAACATTTATTTGAGTAAAAAAATTAACCAAATTTTAGTAAAATTTATTTATTGAGTAAATATTTACTCAATAAACTAAATGTGAGTATTTATAATGTGAATATTTATTGAGTAAATATTTATAATGAAATATTAATGGTTTTTGTATCAAATAAATATATGTTCATATTTAGTAAATTTACATTTAGTTATTACTACTGAAACAAATTTATTTATCGTTAGTTTTAGAACACCCTGTATATTGATTTTTAAATAAATTATTACAAAAAGGAGCCAAACATCTTGTTAATTTTATTACTTTAACTTTTTTTAATTTTTAACTAAACAATGAACAATTGTCTTACTTTCCTATGCATGTAAAAAAAAAGCAATATTTGTTATCTGTAGCAATCTTTTTTATCTGTCATTTTTTATCCGCTTCCAACAAACTCATATTATGGGAGTTCTAGGGTTTCGCACTCTTACTATGCAATATAGTTACATATTTAAGATATTGACAATTACAAATAAATTATAATTTAGTTAATATGCGAATATAGTTATGTAATCTTCATGTCTCACAAAATTTAAGTTACTAATTTCTGTAAAAATATGAAATGTGTGCTATAAATTTCTTTATGAAAACAAAAATGTATACGTAAAATTTAATTTGCAAAGTTTACAAGACATCAGTATTATACAGAAATGTAATATAATTGTTCAGCGAATCGTACAATTAACGGATAATGAAATACATGCGTTTTAAAAAAAAATGTCATTCATGCTTTAGATGTAATAATGTAATACATGGATTTTCGCTACTTTACATGTGTCAACTATATGTATAAATGTAGTGTAGTGAATGCGATTAAATGAACTCTCAGTGCACACTGTTGTGGACATTAAAGCCGTCGTATACAAACTGACGTAAAAAATATGTGTTCAATATTAGTATAATAATGGATTAAATCATGAAATCTTCAATATATTTGTAATATTTGTATTTTACTTCTACACAGATTAACTTCGTGTACAATGGCTTTAATATGTACTAATGCGCACTAGAGAGTCCAACTGAATTCGCTATAAGACTTGTATACAACAAAATTATGAAATTTAATTTGTGTACACATATTGAGAATAACAGTCTAATGTAAAACACATCTCCTGCACATCGTAACTAGCTTGAAAATAATTCAACACAAGTTTCAATTGCAATAGCAATTCTTGTCTTACAAGGAAAGTCTCTCAGATGGTCCTCTTCGATTTTAATGAAACTTGGTGGGTTTGCAGAGAAGGGATGAAAATATTTGATACGTATTTTTTTTAAATTAGCAACCAATATGTTTACAGGATAAAATCAATAATTATCGTTTTTTTTGCTATAACTTCTGAACGATGTATAATAGCATAATTTTACACATATACAAAATGTATACAATTAGAATAAAATTAATCTTTAGATGCGCATCTATATGACCTGGTAGTCCTGAAGTCACGCGAAAGCAGTGGAACTCCGGCGAATGCTGCGTCCGCTCCGGATAGAGACTCGTGTTCGAGGGACGACTCGCAAAATTCGACATAACATTGTTTTAAAATTATGCTATCATACTTTGTTTCAAAGTTATAGCTGAGAAATACAAATTCAGTCAGTCTTCGAGGATTAATTTCATTCTAATTTCACGAGCCTTTCCTTGTTGATTCGTTTCCTTCATATATATTATTTGTTTTAAACAAAACAATATTCTTAACACATTGTATTGCAGTTTAGCTTTTCGTTCTCTGTTGCATGTCATTATTGCATCCATCGATCTTTTCGTGTCTTTCAAGCTGTTTCTTAGTATAAAATCGCGTACCACAGATATTACATTTTAATTTGGAATTTGTGCCATGATTCATCATGGTATGGTATTCTAAACCTACTCTATCAGAAAATACTTTACCACAAAAATAACAAGCATTGTGCTTATGACATTTCATATGACCACGGAAAGTTTTGAGTTTCACAGATTTCAAGCATATAGTACAAGTTACCAAATTATCAGCTCCATTAAAATGTATCGTGTATTTATGATAAGAAAGATTCCTACTATTTGTATAAGCCTTTTTACATTTATGGCAGGGAAAACCAAAGCCTAAATGATAACCTTCGTGTGGAGTCTTTAAGGAAATAGTAATTTTTTTATTACAAAATCTACAAATCAAATCGTTATGGTCTAAATGAAAATGAGATAATCGTCCTTTGTCACTCGTGAATCGTTCGGGACATTGAAAACAATGATAGCCATGATCAAAATGTTTGAATCTCATATGATCATCAAATTCGCTGTAACTATTTAACACTTCTTTACAAAAAAAACATCGCAACTGTAGTGAAAATTCATCGAATGATCTGCCTTTTATAACAGTACACTGATGATTATCATATGACTTAATATTATTAAACTGTTCAGTACAATATCCACATATCATTGGTTTAAATTGCATCGTACAAACCTTTGTTTCATCATAGGAATAATCTGGCTTCATTTTGGGATATAGATATCGTTTATTTGTAGATCGTAATTCCCGTTTGTTTTGAAATATTTCTTGATTTTTAACCTGATTATTTTCCTTGCACGGTTTTTTAATTTGGTTATATTCTTTATTTTTATTTGTTATATTCCCGGATTCACGAATGTCGAGAACCTTTTGACACATTTGCTTTAATGTATTGACTTCATTGAAAATTTTTTCAATTTTTTCATCTTTTGTATCATTTTCCAACTTTGACGAATTCCGCTTGCCGTTTTCTTGTGCAATCATCTGCTTTATTGTATTATTTTCATCAAGAGCAATTTGTACATCGTCTTCAATATCAATGATTACATCTTCATCCGTATCTTCTAACTTCAAAATACTATGATCTTTACTGTATTTAGATGAATCAGATGTATCTGATACTTGTTGTTTAGTGGATGCTTTAGTGAAATCTTTGGTATAATTAAATGTGCGAGACATAGATGAAGTATCTTCTTTGAGACATGTTTTAAAATTTTGGAGTTTATCTTCATCATCTTTACCAACTATTTCATATGAATCATTTCGTTTCTTGATTGTTATGTTAATGCCAATACCAGAGTCTCTATCACTACTGACTCTAGTGCTGTTTACTATATCCTCATTTTGACATAATTCACAATTGTTTCTATGAAGGAACAATGTATGAGGATTTCGAAATGATCTTCCACATATACAAGTAGTTTCATTGTTTTTGTTAATTCTTTCACTGTATCGAATAGCTCGAGTAGAAATTGAACTATTTTGATTACGCAATGTATTACGCTTGGAATTATTTAATTGCGATGTAGCCTTTTCATCTATTCTATTATTAGCATTGTTTGCAACAGTGTTAGCAGACTTCCTGGAAGACTGCAATGATTTGAAGTTCTTATTAAATGGTGAATTAAAGTATCTACATGTAAATTTATGAAAATTTTGTCTAGTCTCTCCACGTAATTTGTGAATGCGTTTATGTTTGTATAAACCATGGGCAGTTTTATAGTATCCCAAGCAAATGTCACATTTATATGTAGAAGCACTTAAAATTTCTTCCTTTGTGGTGGTGGGCGGATTCTGAACAAATGCATA